TATTACTGTGCATCTCTGCAATGCAATCAAATTACCTGCTTTATTTCTTTAAAAATGCTGCAAGTACAGAAAAAAAATCTGTCAACCTTGCAGATATCCAGAGAGCTCCTATCTTACTTCCTGTTTGAACTGAAAACGCATTGCCTCTGCTGCACAGAAACCCAAGCAGTGTTGTCAGCCATGCCTAGCTATCTTTTACTGGACTCCATAACACATCCCTGCCTCTCCTACCCTGTAGTCCAGCAAGGAATAACTCAGGCAGGGCTGATAAAATAGCATGGGATTTCAGTGCAGCAGTGGCACTTTGTTACCATGTTGCCAGCTCATGCAGGTAGTTGAGAGCTTACTGGTTTTATAGAAGGATCAACAGACATATTTTGTATTCGAAGCATCTTTAAAGAGATAAAACATGGGAAATGTGCAGAGGCATATTTTTGTCCAGACATAATCATTCATTTTATGGGTATTTTTTAAATCTGTTTAGAGCCGGGGAAACCAAGGAATATTTTTGTATAACCATTAAAATATGAAACATAATCTGAAAAATATTTACTGTCTATTTGCCTATCCTGACCAGAGTGACTGTATGTTAAAAGAGCTTCTCATAATAGAGTTTATTCTAAGACAATGAAGTAAGCCGAAGTACCTTTATCATGATTTACTGTACTTACGCATATTTGCAATTGTATCATTATTTTAAATACTGATAGATATTTATCTATTTACGGAACTGCCGCATGTCCATAGCGGATAGATTCCCTAATGGACTGAGAAATCACCGAAAGCAAACTATTTCTTGTAGCTTCCTTCTTAGAGATTGCAAGCCTTCTTTCAGCACCAGAACAGAATGCCCATACTCACCAAACATATTTCCCATAGAGATTAGGAAGAAAGAAAATGGCACTAAGCCTGACCATCACTTCAATTGCTAACATGCATCTACTAGTGGAGAGAGTATTGTGAAAACCTGGAAAATTAATTTAATACCCAAGAATATTATCTTACGAAATCTGACTTTAGAGTTCCAGATATATTTACATCAATAATACAAAGGAAATGAAAGATATATTGAGATATACTGTGTGCTAACTGTTCAGTTGAGTGTGTGGTTTTATGTGGATGAGAAATGCTTTTGAACTTTCTAGCTTCATGATCAGGGGATGTGTTTTGATGGATGATAAGCCATTGATCATAATCTATGACACATATTACATGAGTAAATTTAAAACATGCTTCTTTGTTTTCAAAAAAAAAAGCGCTTTATAAATGATTAAAGAAACCTATAGATATTCTGGACTTACCGTTATCATTACTAATCAATTTTTTCCAGCAAATCTCCCCAAACATCACTAAAACTATTTTTAATGAAATCATAACATTTTTGGTTAACAAAACGGAACTCATTTTTATGACATTGAGATTGTTAGAAACGTATATGTGGTGTCTAATGCATTAGAAAACCAAGGTGCTTACTTTCATGTATCCCCTTTACATTGACGTCGTAGAGTTGATTTGACATAAGCCAATGTAAGGCTTATGTCTGCGGCAGCACAGGCTATTAAACACACTCTTGTCTGCTATAGCAGCCAGAAGTGTGTTTACATTTAACAAGCTGACTGTCAACTTTCTGGTAGAATTGATTCAGGCTGCTGTAACGCACTACACCCGCCTGAAGAAATTGCCCCCTCCCAACCTCCGCTTGTTTATCTCTCATCATGTATGCTGGGCCCTGCTGCCCATCCTTAATGCCCAGGACTTGCATTGTAGATGTTGGCAGGAAGAGCAGAACACAATCAGTGAACATCCATTTGCTGATTGTCTCTGCACCAAATTTAGCCGGAAGTAATGAGCATTTCATAAAGAAATCCTGTAAACGTTTTTATTTTCTTCAAAATTGTTCCAATATATCCCTTATACAGCATTTCAGTTGCATTAAAATTGCTACTATGTAACTTCTAGCGATCACTACAAGTTACATTGTATCAATTCCAATGCTACTGCATTGCTGCATTTGTCATAAGAGATCCTGGAAAGATCGCTAGACAAAACATGTGTTTTGTATATGTGCAACTTAATCACGTTTCTCATTTTTGGTCCATTCTATATACATATTGCACTAGGTTTTGGCACTTTTTTGTTCCCTTCTCTTCTTTTAGGTTGTTACATCCGTCTTCCTGGTGCCCAAGTTTCCAACCAATTAGAGCCACACGGAAGCAGCTAAGCAAATTGCTGGTTTGCTATGTGAGGTCTAAAAGAGAGTGTGAACTGCAAGGCTGGTACAGAGAGGGCAAGGGGGAGAGAGAAGGTGCTGAAAGAGGAGGTAGACAATTTAGGTTGA